CGTCGCCTGACGGTCCCTGTGTGCTGACGTGTGGCCGTGACGGCCGTCCGGGAAATGAGGAAGAAAGGTGCCCTTGCAATGGGCGGGTGGTGGTGGTTTTCCAGGTGGGGCGACGGTAACGACGGGACAGCTCAACCGAGGGTCCTTTGCGCGCCAGGTGTGGAGGGCGCGCTGACCTGTGTTCCTTCGGTTCCGGGCAGCGTTCCCGGGCACGTCGTCTTCCCGCACTGTTTGAGGACGGCCTTTGAGAGCGTCGCCGCGCGCTGTCGTTACAGTGGCGACGAGCCCGGGAACCTACGTGTGCCCAGCACGCCGGTCTCCGGCTGAGGAACACAATCCAGAAGTATGTAATGTCCCTGTCGTCCGATGTAGTACATTAAAATTTCACTTTCAAATGTGTTGGTGGTTTTGTTTTGCTGCCCATACTAACTGCGCAGATTTCTCGCAACAGGACGGCAGAGTGTCCGGTGAGGTTGAGAGAGGCCAAGTTATTAGAAAAGGAATGATCACTTGCTCAAGTAAGCCTAAAGAAAGTAGTCTAACGGTATCCTCAGAAAAATTAACTCAAAGCGATTAGTAGCAATTACCGAACAATTGCAAGGTATTATGAGGGAATACAAAGATAAAAGAATCTGTTGCTCCCCCTCCCCCCCCAAAAAAAAAACTTGGAACGATGGGGCAGGAACGACACAACACTAGTCAAAATATTATAATGGAGGGTTAGAAAATCCAGAGAAACTTTGAGCCGGACAAGATTAATGCAGTTAAAAAATAAACAGGAAGTCCCTCTCCTTGCAGTCCAATATGACAAAACGCTTTCAAGATGGAGGCAAGAGGTAAAGAAAGGAAAAAGCTAAAATTAGGAATCATCTGGTAGGTGCTTTATATACGTTCACTTATATTTACGTATATTCATCTAATTCCGGAAAATATTAGGCAGATAATGATTTTAAAAGCAAGTTCAGAGAGCTTTTCTAACCGAAGTCAGCCTGCTAGTGAATGGCCAATGGGATTAAAAAATTAATACCTTAAACTGCTTATATTTTAGTGCTTTACATGAAACATCTTTACAGTTCTGTAAGGTATCATTTTACAGATGATACTGAGGTTCAAAGGGGTTAAGTAATTTGGTTCAGGCTACATAGGCTGTAGGCAAAGCCAGGACTCAAACCAAATCTGCTTACTTATTAATCCTGAGCACCTAGTTGCATCGCTGCAGAAATCCACATAGTACATTTAGAGAAAATATGACTTTCCATACGTGTTTTAGGACTGAAGTAGGACAAGGCTACAAAAGATTGGAGGCAGATCACAAGAATCCTTGGCCATTTACAAATCAATTTGTATCATGATGATGATGTATGTATAAAGTATATTGTTCCAAAAAGAATTTGAAGCAATTTATATCAGTGAAATGAGGTATAAGGATGAAACGAGTAAAAAATCAAAAAGAGTACCTAAAGCTTATCAAAGTCCTATGTAGTTATAAAAGGCACATAGAAAATCAAGTCCAGGTTTCTTAATCTATGTAAAGAAGTAGACATGATCAGTTACAAGATTCTCACCCATAAAACAGCTGTATCCTCATCACTGCATCCCTATGCAGTTTCATAGAGTTCTTTTTTTAACCATACATACATACAGAATACGTAGTATCTGTGAACAATTTTACTTCCCTTCTGATACGGATGCCTTTTCTCTCTTTGTCTTGCCTGATCGCTCTGGTTAGGGCTCCGGTTCAAGCTGACTAGGCGTGGGCATCCTTGTCTCTTGTTCCTGGTCTTAGCAGGAAAGCTTTGAACATTTCACCACTGAGTACATTAGCTATGAGTTCGTCATATGTGGCTTTTATTATGTCGAGGTGCATTTTTACTATACCCGATTGGCTGACAGTTTTTATTTTGAAAGGATGTTGAATTTTGTAAATGCATTTTCTGAATCTATTGAGATAAAAATATAACTTCTATCAATCATTCTCTGAATGAAGCATATCACATTTATTGATTTGCATTGCTTTCCAGGGATGATCCATTTGATCATAGTGGCTTGCTAGGTTTTTTTTGGTTTTGGTTTTGGGGTTTTTTTTGGGGGGGGGTTGTTTTTTGAGATTTTTTTGCATATATATTCATCAGGCCTATAGTTTCAATGTCCTTATCTGACTTTGGTATCTGGGTAATGCTGGCCTTAAGTGAGTTTGGGAGTGTTCTCTCTCTTCGATTTTTTGGAAGAGTTTGAGAAGGATTAGTGTTGATTCTTTTAATATTTGGTAGAATTCACTGGTGAAACCACGTGGTTCTTGGGCTTTCCTTTGGGAGGAGGTGTGTGATGATAGTTGCAATCTCCTTTCTCATTATCGGTCTGTTCAAGTTTTCTATTTATGATTCAGTCTTGGGAGGTTGTAAGTAGGCTGGTTTTCGGGATTTACTCTCCGAGATGTCTCAGAGTTCCCTGGGGGGCTCGTCTCCTTTTTTGATTTTAGATTTATAACTATATCAGACATAAAAAAGAGGCATAAAACGTATGTCACCCAGAACCACCACACAGGACACAGCTAGAGAACAGGGCCTACACCCTGGAAGCCTGTAAGTGCTCCTCCAGGAGCACATCTTCCTCCCTGAATGACCCACTGATGGACGTATAAATGCTCCTCCTGCTATGCTCCTCCCTGAGCACCTCCTACTGCCAGAAGGACCTGCTCTAGCAAGTTCTTCTACCATAACCATCCCATAGGTTGTACTACAGTGAGAGCTTTTTAAACAAAGCATGGGCCAATCGGTCCAACTTCTGAACCTTTTCTTAAAGGTCTTTGAAATTCTTGTTTTACGTATTTGTTCAATATCGTGCTTGTGAGATTCACTGATGCTGATGCATATAATACAGTCAGAGTTCATTTACTTCACTGTTGTATTTTATTGTAAGACTATGCTAGAGTTTATTCATTCAAGCCATTGTTGATGGACTTTGGGTTATGCGAGGTTTGTTTTAATGAACATACTGTGCATATTCTCATACTTCTGGTGTTGATTTAATATAAATGAAAACCAAATCTATTATCTCATTTTTTGTTTTTGATTTGTCCCAAATCATCTAAGTTTACTTTTCTCTACTTTCTTGCCTTTTGGATTTTTTTCTCATTCTACTTTTCCCCTTTACTAGTTTGAAAATTATGTACTCCATTAAGGGCACCATAGGAACTTCAAGATGACACATATGAAAATAGGGAATTAATATCTGGACCTTTCTCTGAATTCGCATACTTTGTTCTGTGTTTTAATTCTACCTTTAAACTGGGAAAGACATTATACTATTTTATTTAGTCTAACTTGTCTAGATATACCTATTTATGGTTTTTGTTTGTTTGTTTTTGACCTCTGCATTCCTTCTGGCATCTCGGACCTTCTGTTTATATGCCATGGAGCAGAACATTTCCATTAGCATTTTGAGTGTGGAGTGTGGTGGCACCAAGCACATTCCAGTGGGAAACTTTCTTGCTCGTGGTTCATGGAAAATAAAGTGGAACTGTTCTCCAGAGACCCTCGGACCTGCAGCCCATAACTGTCCCCACGTGGTGTCTGCGCAGAGCAGCTCCACCCCACCCGCTGTGTTTACACGCGGATCCTGCACCAGCACCTTCCAGCCCTCCGGCGTTTTTGACTATGTAGATACATTTGTCTGCGTTCCCTGCACCGAGGACTGAGGCGGAAGCACCTGAGCATTACAGCAACGCCTCCTTGTCCCACTCAGAACGCAGTGGAAAGAACAGGCCCGCCCGTCACAGGAGGCCGCGTGGCCAGGGACCAGCGAGTCCGCGGGGCGCTCCATTTCCTGCCTAGGGCTTCTCGCTGGCGGGAAGGCGACAGGCCACGAAAGGAACCGCCGGTGTGCGCACTCCGTGGCCCAGACTCACGAGCAGTGTATTCCGGGACAAGGTGACATAACTGGGAAGGGACAGCTAACTACATCCCTCCTGACTCGGCTGCAGGGACTCTTGTCCACGCTCTGCCACCATCACCCGTCTAGTGGAGGTTTATGTTCTCAGCAAATCTTTTCCATTCCCATTTCCAGAAACCATCGTGTGCGGGGACTCCGTGGGAAGGCCACCGCGGCAGTGTTCCCGGCCTGGGGGCCTCGAGGATGAACAGCTTCGTTTTATCCTCCCGGGAAACTGGAGGCGCTGTTTGCAGTCTGGGGGGGACAGCGATCACGTGCCTCCTGCGTGGGCAAAACACAGAAACGCTCTTCGCTCGTGGCTCATAGTGGAGGCAGCAGCACTCACCTGCTCAACTGCTCCCTGAAACGGGGCGGGGGGGGGTCTTGACTTACGCTGAGCCTTTGCGCCACCCCGTTCACCGCGCTGACCCCTCCGGGCCCTCCTGCCCTGCCCCCCGGGGGGCCATGAACCACACGCCGTAGGCACAGCCCACGCAGCTGGCCAGCATGTTTCGGGTCCCCGCTTGCGGTTTTGCTTTTGGAGGGGCGACAGTTGCCACGTGAAGCTTACCAACACGCTTTCTCCCATAGGTTCCTCACGGCTGCCAACAGGAAGCGTCCCCTGTCCCAGAAACACGGGCGTCAGGCTGCGCCACCCCAGGAAGTCACCGGACGGCTCTAGGTGCCAAGCGCTCACGTGAACGGTCGCACGGGCAGCTGTCCGCGCGCCCCGCGCTCTCCGGGGGGACCACGCGGCAGCACACGCGCGCCCGTCGCCTGCAGGAAGGGTCTCGGCCACCGCCGGCCGTCGGCCCCCACGCGCACTTCCGGGGCGGGGCGTCCCCGCGG